AGTGAGAAGGACACAGAAATGAACTCTGTGAAGAAGAAAAGGGAAGAAGGCCCCTTCGCCAGACGAGACAGACGTGACTATGAGCTTGGAAGGTATAGCTAGCCACATGGCTAGATGGGGCTAGGTGGTCAGGTTAACTTAGATGAGCTAGTTGAGAGTCTGCCCAGCTAAGGCCTAACCTTTGAAATATTAAAAGGTCTCTGTGTGGTTATTTGTGGAACTAGCTGGTTAAGGAATAACTGCCACTGTATTAATTTCCAGCATTAATTAATACAGAATATTAATTTCTTTTCTAAAAAATAAGTGGCGCCCAATCTGGGGCCTGAACCTATGACCCTGAGACAAAGAGTCTCATGCTCTATGGACTGAATATTTGTAAAAAGAAAGAGTTCATTTTTCCCTCCCAGGAAGTCCCACCTATCTTTCTCTCCTGCCCAATTATAGGCTTTAGCCTTTTATTGAGCAATTTATTGGGGAGCAAGGTTTGCACAACAAAATCTCATGTATGTGAGAAGTCCCTCATCTTGGTGCAACCACATCTTGGTGCATAGAAATTAGTATTTGAATATAGAAGCAGCACCAGACCAACCTCAACAGGGTCTCATTATTTAGTTCTGGATGCCCTGGAACTCACTATGTAGACAATGCTGGCCTTGAACTCATAGCAATCCAACTGCTTTTGTCTCCTGGTGTTGGTATTAAAGGCATGTACCACTATGCCTTGAAGCCTTCACAGTTTTACCTCAATGGTCTATTAATGGTCTCTCTACCCTGTGGCATGACTTGGTTTGAAGTAATCTGTTCTTAAAATTTTCACCCATTAAGGTCATTGGTTTTTGTTTGTTTATTTTTATGTGTGTGAATATTTTATCTGCCTGCATTTCTGTACACCATGTGCATTCAGTATCCATGGAGTCCAGAAGAGGGTATCAGTTCCCCTGGGAATGAAGTATCAAGACAATTGTGAGCTGACACCTTGTAGGTATTAGGAATACAACCCTGGTCCTCTCGAGGAGCAGTGAGTGCTCTTAAACACTGAGCCATTTCCCCAACTCCATTTGAAGTGCTCTTGATCATCTGTTGTCACGCCCGCCTCGCCAGCAAGGATGACGCAACAACAGGATCCTTCCTCACGCACTTTATTGGGGAACACACCATTGACTGTAAAGCGAAAGACCCCGAAGGCCCAAATGGGTGCTGCTTAAAGAGTTATCACAACTGTGTATAAGTGTCTAATTGGTGCTTCTTGCAGAACTTCATTTACATACTGCTCAGGAGGGTGAGGAGACGTGTACGCCTGCTCACAGCAGGTGTTTACGACCCTGAATGCAGTTGCTTTCCACCTCAAACAGAGGAAACAAGCGCCATCTTCTAATGGAGGCTCCTTACAATCTATTTCTTCCACAAAATACCACATGGGCCCATCAGAGAATAGAAAATAAATCTAACCAAAGTTCAAGGGCATTCTACCTCTGTGAAACTTCTAGGTGTCCAGTGGTGTGGGACATGTAGGGATATTCCTTCTAAGGTAAAGGGTAACCTATCTCACCTGTACCCTACCATTACCAAGAAAGAAGCACAACACTCAGCCTATTTCATTTCTGGAGATCGCCCATTTGTCACTTGAATGTGTTATTTCAGCCGGTATACCAAGTGATTCAAAACTGTTAGCTTTGAATGAGATCTGGGACAAAAGTCTCTTTGGTAGATCCCAACTGCTGTGCAGGCTGCTTTACCGTTTAGGCCATATGATCAAGTAGATCCAATGGTTCTTAGGGTGTCATTGGCTGATAGGGGTGCTGTTTGGAGCCTTTGACAAACCCCTATAAGTGAATAACAAAGGAAAACTTTGGGATTTTGGAGCAAGGTTTTGCTGACTATTCACCCTTGTGACATCTCTTCTGCTATTAGGTTAGTGGGAACTGAATCATTGAAAATGAGGCCACAAGGTTTACTGTGAAACCCTGAGCTAGGTGTAATCTAGCCCAACAGTTCATAATTTAGGATGTGAACAGCAGAAATCCATTATTAAATGGTAGTGGTAACTATATGATTGGCCCCGAGCACTCCTGAGGCCTGAAGATATAAGCAAGTTATATGAAGTTGCCCAAATGCCTATGGTTTCTACTCCCATTACAATGCCATCTGCTGCCAAGTATGCACCTATCGGCTCATGGAGTGTGCCCTATGGTCAGTTGACTGAGAAAGAGGAGAATAGGACCTGGTTTACTGATGATTCTACACGATATTCAGGCACTATCCAGAAGTGGACAATCTCAGCATCACAACCCTTTTCTGGGATAACCATGAAAGACACAGATGAAAGAAAATCTTCATAGTGGACAAAACTTTGGGAACTGTACAAAGCCACAAATTTTGCTTAGAAGGTGTATGGTTTGTATATGCTCAGCCCAGGAAGTGGCACTATTAGAAGTGGTGGCCTTGTTGGAGTAGGTGTGTCACTGTTGGCATAGGTTTTTAGACCCTTGTCCTAGTTGCCTGGAAGCCAGTATTCTGCTAGCAGCCTTCAGAGGAAGATCTAGAACTCTCAGCTCCTCCTGCACCATGCCTGCCTGGATGCTGCCGTGTTCCTGCCTTGATGATAATGAGCTGAATCTCTGAACCTGGAAACCAGCCCCAATTAAATGTTGTCCTTATAAGAGCTGCTTTGGTCATGGTGTATGTTCACAGCAGTAAAACCCTAACTAAGACAGGAGAAATAACCAGATGTGCAGTTGTTCACTAATCCATGGTTGTAGCCAATGGTTTGACTGGATGGTCAAGGACTTGGGAGAAATATGATTAGTGAGAAAGACATCTGGGGAAGAATATATAGATAGATCCTTCCACATGGACTAAGAACGTGAATCTAGTTGTATCCCTTGTAAATGGTCATCAAAAAATGACTTCAAAAGAGTAGGAATTCAGCCGGGTGGTGGTGGCGCACGCCTTTAATCCCAGCAGGCGGATTTCTGAGTTCGAGGCCAGCCTGGTCTACAGAGTGAGTTCCAGGACAGCCAGAGCTACACAGAGAAACCCTGTCTTGAAAAACAAACAAACAAACAAACAAACAAAGAGGAGGAATTCAATAACCAAGTAAATAGGACGCCCCATTCTGTGTGCAGTCAGACTCCTTCCTCAGCCGTTCCTGTCACAGACCAATGGGACCATGAACAAAGTGGTCATGGTGACAGAAATGGAGGTTATATGTGGGCTTAACAACAAACTTCTGTTGCAGGATATTTGATCACACTATGAACGATGAGATTGTGTTATTTACTGAAAAAACTATTTCTAGTTGTGGTGTGGTGTGAGCCCTTAGCACACATCTTTAACCTCAAACAATGAAGGTATGGTTAGTTTATAGAAGGAAACACCCATGTTTGAAAGTAATGTCTAATTGAGTGGCAGACAAGTGACAAGAGAAAGATTTGACAGAATAGGATATGCCTAGTTCTCACGAGAACAGAGAGAAAAAGAGAGGCCACATAAAAGAGAGCAGTGCAGAGAGAGAGGAGGAAGCTGGAACATTTTTTTTACTGGAACAGTGGTACAGAGACAGGTTGCAGAGAGAGAACAAGCTAGACACAGGTGAAGACAGAACAACCCAGAGACTGAGAAGGAGCCAGAAGACTAGAACAGATTTTAGGAGGTTGTTCTGATGTTGCTTTTATTCAAATGCTAAATTCTGTACCCTAAGATCTGGTTGCCCCCTGGCAAGGAGATCCTCATGTATATCAGCTTCTGTTGTGTAAACCTTGGCCCCCCAAGTTATCCATAACTGGTCCATAAAGATGCCTACAACCTGGGCTGGGCAGAAGAGAGCAGGGAGAGCAAAGGTCCCTGGGCATAAGGTCTCAAAAAGAAGAAGAAGTTGCCATGGGGTAGGTAGATCATGAGACCATGGCCATGAGGGCTGGCCTGTTGAAGTAGGAGTGGTCCAGACAGAATATGACAAGTTACATCTCAGGGTTATTGACAGGGAAGTAGACAAAGCAGCATAGAGGGTTGATATCTGCTCAGCTCTAGTGCTTTAAGGCTTGTTATAAAGGTTTGTGTCTTTTATTTGGGAACTAAATGATCTAAGGTGGGGTAGAAACTCCCAAATATATTCACCACAACACGGACTGCTAAAGTTCACATGAGGTCAAACAGCAGTTCAGTCAAAAACTGAGAGAAGCCAGATTGATTCAGTCATCTGTAGAGAGACAGCATCTTGTGTATGGCCCATGGCTTCGGCAGGAGAGAGAGTGGGATACGGGGAGGGGAAAGAATTCTGGGAGAGAAGGAGGCGGGAGGAGCCAGAAAAGATGTGAGGAGATGGACAAATGGTAGCTGAGTACCGGGAGCCAGCCACACGGCAGAACGCAGGTTAAAATAAACGGCTAGCTTTGGTTACGATCTAGTCAGAGTAGAGTCTAGCTATGTGATCAAGGTATCTGTAAATTTAACCTGAGTCTGAGTCTTATTTCTGGGAGCACGGGACTAGGGGGAAGAACTGGGCCAGGACTTCAACAGTCAGCTTGGAAAGGAGTTTGAGCCAGAACAGCTGAGTTAAACCAGCCAGCCAGTGCTCAGAAAGCACTAGAAAGGGTGAGCTTATTCAGCAGCAAGTCTCAGAGGTTGCAAACATTCTAGGCCTAGATTAGATTGTACAGAGGCTAGAAGCTTCCAGGACTAGGCCTAGGTTAGCAGACAGAGGCAATGCCTCCAAATGACAGTTACTACAAGCGAATAAAAGTTACTTTTATAGTGCCCCTTATTGTGGGCAGCTTCTTCTGGTAGGAACCAGGATAAAAAGACAATTTCAAAAGTCAGTTCTTCCTCTTGCCTGTTTCTTTGCCTTTTACCTATTCTATACCATATATGTGAGTGTGCACGGTCAGCCGCTCGGTTCTGTTCCTCTTGCAAACCCTGACAAAAAGAGTACTGTACCAACTCACATCTCTAGCCCAGCCCCCATTTAAAAACACACACACAGGCACACACACACAACACTGGGGAGTCTAACAGGTGTCAGGTTTAATCTGTATGAATCTTTACAGGCACTTTTCTTTTTACAAATTTACAAGGGATCCTTGAGAAGCCAAACGGATTTATTTCAATTCTCAAGTCTTGACTCAGTTCACTCTTGGTGCCAAGTCCATGCTCCGCTCCAGACCTTCAGACAGAGGCAACTGTTCAACTCACCCACACTCCTCAAAGATGTCCGGATAGTGCCGAAAGAGCACTGGTGGATCCTGGTCACCTCGGACTGGGGCTCCAGGCACAGCCCGGATCCCAGGCCTTCGACCGCGGCGACCCCCTGAGCAGGAACGGTGGATCCATTGGTGTGCTTTCACTGCGAACTTCCTCTTGAAGCGAACACCACACTCTGGGCAGGGGAAAGGTCGCTCACCAGAGTGCATGCGCCGGTGGCTGACCAGCAAAGACGGGTAGGTAAACCGGCGTCCACAGTCCACACACACATGGCGGCGCTGGCTGGCCTGTATATCGGTGTCGGGTACCTGGACTGGAAGCTGCACACCTGCAATCTGGTCTGGGACAGCTTTGGTAGGTGGCTGTGCCCCTGCAGAGGCCTTGGTAGCCATGGGATAAGTCTTATGTTCCACCACCTCTTTCGGTTGCAACTGAGCAGGAATCTCTGCTGGCCTCTCACCTCCTTCCTTGCAGGCCCAGTCCTTCTCATCTGGAGTGTCTCCTAGGAAACAGAAATTAATTGCATTTTAATAACTCATGGGTCATTGGGCAGTGGTGACTCATGCCTTTAATCCCAGCACTTCAGGGGCAGAGGCAGGCAAGATCTCTTTGAGTCCTGAGGCCAGCCTGGTCTACAGAGAGAGCTCCAGAACAGCCAAGGGTACATAGAGAAATCTGTCTCAAAAAAAACCAAAAAACAAACCAAACCAAAACCCCTCATCTGTCCCACTAGGGAAGTAGCTGTAATCCCAGCATTTGGAAAAGGTGAGGCAGGAAGATAGCCATAAATTTGAGGCTAGCCTGGCCTACATAAGGGTCTGATGGTCGCTCACCTTTAATCCTAGCACTTCAGAGGGAAAGGCAGGTAGATTTCTGTGGGTTTGAAGACAACCCAGTCTAAATGGTGAGTTCTGGGCCAGCCAGAGCCACCTGCCTTAAAAATGAAAAAAAAAAAAAAAAAACCAAAAAACAATACACCAAAAATAAAACAAGGGTTGGAGAGATGGCTCAGTGGTTAAGAGCACAGGCTGCTCTTCCAGAGGTCCTGAGTTCAAATCCCAGCAACCACATGGTGGCTCACAACCATCTGTAATGGGATCTGATGCCCACTTCTGGTGTGCAGGAAGTCAGGGTACTCATATACATAAAATAAATAAATAAATCTTTTTTTTTTTTTAAATAAAAGCAAAACAGGGGCTGGAGAGATGGCTCAGTGGTTAGGAGCACTTGCTGCCCTTCCAAAGGACCTGAGTTCATTTCCCAAAACCCACACTGGGCAGCTCACGACTACTGCAGCTTCAGAACCAGAGGATCTCATGCCTCTGGCCTCCTTTGGTAGCTGCACTTATGTGACACATATACTGACACAGAATGAAAAATAATAAAGATAAATCTTAGGGGAAAAGTTTCAGTAAGACCTAATACTTCTGCACTGACTGCCCTAGGTTACCCAGGTAGTACCAAAGTATACTGCCCAGTGGCTAACACAATGGCTTTGTTGAAAGTCAGTTAAAATTCCCTTCCTTGTGTGTCAAATGGGAAAAATAATAGTTTCTTGACTTCACAGGATTATTGGATTAAATACATACATGCTTATTGATCACTTAGTAAATGCTCAATAAACAATATTTACTGGTGTATTTTGTAATTGGTTTTGGTACAGTGGTTCTTTTATAGATGAGGCACCAAGTTTGCTTCAGATTTCTTCCATTCTGGGTACTGATGGGAGAGCAGCCAAGCTGTCATTATTCAGACATGCTTTTTCTCTTGTACCACTTTGCCTTGTTTGAGAAATGTGATAGGCAGACCAGTTCTATTTTTAGGGGCATTTCAGGGTTTTCGTGGGGGAGGGGGAGAGTTAGGGGACTGAGACAAGGTCTTACTATATGTGGTCTCAATTGGCCTTGAATCGACCTGCCTCTGCCCTTTGAGTTCTGGGATTAAAGGTGTGGCCACAATGACCCGCCTTAGTTGGTTTCTGAAAAGGGTGGTATTTTAACAAACATCTGGAAACCTAAAAATTCTTTGGGTTCTAGATTCTCTTACTCTGTTCGTTTTTGTTTTTAAGGTTTATTTATTTATTTTTATATACATTGTTGTTTTGCCTATATTCGGGTCTGTATGAGGGTGTCCCTGGAACTAGAGTTACAGACAGCTGTAAGCTGCCATGTGGGTGCTGAAAATTGAACCCCGGTACTCAGGAAGAAGAGTAGACACTCATGACTGGTGAGCCATCTCTACAGCCCCCTACTCTGTTTTTAATATGACAGTTCTCCCGAATTTCCAAAACTCTTAACAGGTAGGCTTTCTTTTCTTTAGCATCTGGACATGTTGGCTCTTTAAATTCTGTAGGGATGCTGGAATGGGGAGTCTGAAAGAAAGATTTACTAGAAAAGAAACCCCCAGACAAACAAGTTTCGGGAGGATTTGGGACAACCCCTCACCTCTCGGAGCTCCTCCCAGGTTTTCCCCCTCCTCAGGATCCTGGGCGGCGGGGCTCCAAGCCTCAGTCTCCTGTTCCATCCAAGAGATGAGGGCTGGTTTGGGGCCCGGGAACCCTGAGAGAGAACAGGGGTCACAGTGCTGGCCTGAGAGGCTGGCCGGGGCAGATAGCATCCCACTAGGGTGAGGGCACCTCCTCGGAACTTATGCACAAATTAACCTGCGCAGGGTTTGCGATGCTCTTGCCTGAATGGAGACTCCCGAGGAAGCCCTGAGAATGGAAGGTGATTGATGCTGCTGGTGGAAAAGTGCGGGATGAGGGCTCACAATCCACTTGATCGGTCTAGAGCATCTCCCGGGTGAACCCACGAGGAGGTTGGGGGGCGGGGCCTCACCGAGCGCGCCCAGGAGGCCGTAGGTCTCGCGCATCACCTCCCGGTACAGGGCTCTCTGCGTGGGCCGCAGACACCCCCACTCCTGCGGGGAGAAGTACACGGCCACGTCCGCGAAGCTCACAAGCTCAGGCTTCCTGAAACCAGGCCAGATCTCCCCAGGCATCGGAACCAGCAGTGGAGCCGGGGGTGGCGCCATCGGGGATCCTGCCTGGGCAGTGGCTTGGCTACCCCAGCTTTCCGCTTCCGGCCTCAGCAACCTCGGGAAGCCACGCCCTTGCTACGCCCCTTGGTCACGGTTGCTATCAACACGTGAGGAGAGAACGGGGCAGCCAGTTAGTGGCTGCTAGGGATAGCAGAGCTCCGGTGGAGACTAGTAATGCTCCATAGTGTTTACTCCACAGCCGCTCACACAAAGACACGACTCGGGTAAAGGGACCCGAAAGATGTCTTCAGAAAACATGGCGACCGCCTGGCTTCAGTTGCCATTGACGGCATTGAGGTGCCATTTCTGCAGCTTAACAAATATGGTGTCTTTTGGGTTTCCATTGCCCGCAGCTCCCCATTTGCCCTTAAATACAATGGCCGCTTCAGGAAGGTTGGCGTTCGTTTCTATGTGTAGGAAGGAGAGGCCTTCAAAAAATATGGTCTACGGGCTGCCTCCCCGAGCTCTGTGCGCAATTACAACGACCAATGATTGGCTGTAACCACAAGGAGCAGCAGTGCTGCAATTGGCTCTGGAATGACAGGACATCTGAAACAATTTCGAGGACCTGGGTATCCTTGGTGCCTGAGATAGTGTCTTCCCAGTCTCCCAGTGTGTGTCCTGCTGATGTAGCTGGAATCTGGTGGTCAGCCTCTAGAGCCTGGCAAAGCCTGGGTACTGCATTTCAGAAACCTAGTTTGTGTGTTCAGAGAAGTTGACAGAATATTTGATTGACAGAATGAGTGTTTCTGCTCTCTTGGTCTCTGTACTGAAATTACAAACTAAGGATGTGCTTAGTGTGTTTCTGCTCGGATGGAAGGGTATCCTGGGACTCGGAAGCCCAGGAACCACACAGCTCTGAGGTGGGACACTCTACTAAGGGAAGGGCATTCTGAGACACGGGAACTTAGGAACACACCTGAAGGGTCGAGTGTGTGGAGGGATGAATCCAGAGATGGCTACCCTCTGCTCCTTGGAGCAGACAGTAGGGAACTGAACGGAGGGCAGGCTTATATACGATTTATTAGGGGGTGAAGCTTTTCAGGGCAGAGATTTCTATAGAGTAAAGACGGTGGAATTTCAAGTCCTGATCTTGGGAAGCTCAGGGATTGGTGGCTTTTTTTCACCACCACCTCCCTTTCCCTGCATTAGGCCCATGGGTTAGAATGGGAAGTCCTTCCTGGCTATACAGATAGCTTTTTTACTGAGGTACCTACCATCTCTGTGGAGCTGTTTGGGGAGGCTGGAGAGGAGGTGCTGCTGGAGCTCCTGCGGGACAGCTCCTGCAGTGGTGTGTTCACTCAGACTGTAGACTGAGGCAGGAAAGATGTCACCACGATGTACCGCTCCTGTGGGACAGCTCCTCCTAAGCTAGGAAAAGAGATGTGTCACCGTGGACAGCTCCTGTGATGGCTGCCGGCTGAGGAGGTGTAGAGGTGCTGCCTATCTGACAGAAGTCACCATTTAGACAGCTCCTGTGGGGGCATCTTACAGCAGCCATAGGGTAGAGAGGAAAGGAGGGGCCAGCCACAGCTTTGGAGGATTTTGAGGTGTGCTTAGTGACTACACTTAGTGAAGTTGGGATTGGAATGAGGGAAAGTTTTAAATTGCGTTGTAATTTTTTGCCAAATTCATTAATATGTACGTGAAGCCAGAGGTGGAGGCGGGCTTGTGTAAGCCCAGCAAAAGACACAGGTGGGAAAAGTTGGAGGCCAGTTCTGGGTTATATAATAAGACTGTGTCAAAAAACAAACAAACAAACAAACAAAGAAAACACCACCTATATTCATTTAACCCTCTTTTTTAATTAAATTGAGTTTTAGCATATATGTAGCTTTATGGGTTTTTTTTTCCTTATTCTCTTTATTCACTACTTTGTGTGAGTTCTTTTGGGTTCTTCTGTCTCTTTACAATATCTTCTCTCGGACTCCGCACAGCTTCTCCTGGCTAAACTGTCACCAACTGTCTTCTCTCTATGCTAGCCCAATGTACCGTCAAGTGCCTTCTATTTTCACTCTGCTCAATCTCTTTTCTTCTCAAGCCTTAGGAAATCTCTTATAAGCATCACATGTCAATAAAAAAGCCTGTGGCCAATGAACGGAGGCAGGAAATGAATGGTAGGTGGAATATTAGCAGGAAGAGAGAGGATTCTGGGAAATAGTGAGAGATGTGAGAGAGTTCCCTAGGAACACTGAGAGAGAGACAGACATAAACCAGCCATGTAGCTGAACTCAGGTTAAAATAAAGAGGACATTTACATTGTGTTTATTTTATATATGTGTATATACCTGTGTAGTCATGAATGTATGGTGGTCAGAGGACACCTTGGAAGAGACAGTTTTCTCTTTCCACCATGTGGGTTCCAGAGATCAGACTTAGATTATCAGGACTGACAGCAAGTGTATGTATTATGATATTGGTGAGAGGGGGGTTAGGTGACTGTGGTGGTTTGAACATGCTTGGCCCAGGAGGGGCACTGTTAGGAGATGTGGCCTTGTTGGAGTAGGCATGGCCTTGTCAGAGGAAGTGTGTCACTGTGGGGTAGGCTTTGAGACCTTCCTCCTGGTTGCCTGGAAATAGTCTTTTCCTGTTTGCCTTTGGAACAAGATGTTCCAATGCTCAGCTCCTTCAGTGCCATGCCTGTCTGGAAACTGCTGTGCTTCCTGCCATGATGATAATGGACTGAACCTCAGAACCAGAAAGCCAGTCCCAACTGAATGTTGTCCTTTATAAGAGTTACCTTGTCATGGTGTCCCTTTACAGCAATGAAAGCAGTAGCGTATAATATCTCAGGATGTAAAGTGTTTTTGTGCAAGCCTGGTGACTTGACTTCAATCCTGGAACTTACATAATAGTGGAAGGAGAAGCCAGATGTGGTGGTGCATGATTTAATCTCAGGAGTCTGGAGGTTGAGACCAGAAGATTTCTATAGTTTCAAAGCTAGCCTGGTCTACAATCTAAGTTTCAGACCAGCCAAGGCTACCTAGTGAGACCTTGTCTCCACAACAACAAAAAATGGAAAGAAAAACAACTTCATAAAGTTGTTCTTTGACTTCCACACATACCCCCCGGATACACTATGGATACCACACAATAATAACTTAATTAATTAAAACATTTAAAAGATAACAGATCAGAGCCATTCACAATGTAGTACAACAACAGGCCTATGAGCAGGACTTTAAGACAGACTGTGCTGAATATCACACCCTACAGCCAAAGGTTCACGGAGCCGGGAGCAGTGATTACAAGACTTCAGTAATGGAGTCAGAACACAAGATGCTAGTAGATAAGGTAGTCCAGCAGTATAGAAGATTCAGGAACTGGCACCCAAGTTACAGGAAAGAGAAGTATTGCTGTTAGGTTCTTATCTCAGTTGTGGATATGCTCTTGAGAGACGAACAGAAAGATCACATTGGAAACCTGAGAACCCTAGACAGGACATTGGAAAGAATGGAAAATCAGGTACAAAACTCATAATTAGTAGCTTAAAAATGGGGAGGGAGGATGTAGAGTGATTTATTTTGTGTTTCTGGTCCTTTAAAGAATCCCCAGTTAACCCTATGCCCTTCAGTGTTGGTTTCCTCTAAGACTTCTGGGAATAGTAGAGGATATAAAAAAGCAGAGGCTGAAAGAAATTTAGTAAGATTGGAATAGGGTGAGAGAAGAGTAGGGTCCAAGAGTAGGATTAGAGAAGACAGTGGTGCAGGAAGAAAATTTAAGTTGGGCTAGAGGAGAGAAGAGACTGAGAAGAGTGAAAACAGGAGAAGGTTCAAAGTGGATTGGGCTAGCAGAGTAGAAGAGAAGGCAGCTGGTGACAGTTGAACCAGGAGAAGCTGAGCTGAGCCAGACAAGATATTGTTAAGTGTGGTGCTTTGAATAAACTTGGCCCATGGCGAATGGCTCTATTAGGAGGTGTAACCTTGTTGGAGTGGGTGTGGCCTTGTTGATGGATGTGTGTCACTGTGGATGTGGGCTTTAAGGTCTCTATGCTCAAGCTCCACCCAGTGTGGAATGAGAGCTCCTTTCTGGCTGTCTTCTGATCAAGATGTTGAACTATCAGCTCCACCAGCACCATGTCTGCCTGGATACTACCATACTGTCCACCATAATGACAATGGACTGAAACTCTGAAAGTAAGCTAGCACCAATTAAGTGTTTTCTAAGAGTTGCCTTGGCCATGGTGCTTCTTTATAGCAATGGAAATCCTAACTAACAAGTTGGTACTAGGGACTGGAGTATTGCTGTGATAGGCCTGACCACATTTTTGTTTGGAGGAATGTGCATTTGGGGACTTTGAATTTGGAAAGCAGTGGAATGTCTTAAGTGTGGCTTAATGGGACATCCAGCAGGAATGTGGAAGACAGTTGTACTGAGGGTGATTTGAACTCTGGAGGCCTGGCTCAAGAGGTTTTAGAGGAAAAGAGTTTTAGTATGTTGCCTAGAGATCATCTTGTGATATTTTAGTGAAGAATATGGCTTCTTTTTGCCCTTGTCCAAAGAGTCTACCTCCAGCTACAATGAAGGGATACAGATTTATTGTACTGACAGAGGAAGTCTCAAAATTAACTATTTTAGGCTTTGTTCTGTGGTTCACTCTTATGAGGAGTCTTTTGATCAAACTTAGAAAGGAAAAAGGATAGCAAGCTTAGAAAGGAAAAATACAAAATGTATTTTTCAAGTAATAAAAAGGCACCAGGAAGTGGAATGGAGCTAAATCCTGTGTTCAAGGTGATAAACAGATTAAGGGAGTTGTAACCTCAGGGCAAGATCCCACTTAGCTAAGCTCGCAGCAGGATACATACTCTGCTACATAGTATCCCCAGTGGAGCTCGGTGAGGCGGTGGAGCTGGGAGAGAAAGAGAGGAAGGGGAGGTGAGAAATAGAGGAATGGAAGGAGAAGAAGGAGGCTATCAGCCATGGAGGACTATGGATGAGTGGAAAGCTGTCCTGGGTAGCAACTTCTATCAAAAGGGTAGATATTGCATAACAACTCTAATTGTGTGGGCATCTTGTT